AGTGTGTTGTGTGGGAGGGTTTGGGGCCACATCTGGTAGTACTCTAGGTCTATTGTTTCTATGTTTTTCATATTGAAATCCATGTTTTTCTGAAAAGTCTTTTTCTTTAAAATAAATTTCTCTCCTCTTTGCAATTTTTTTTTTTTGGAGTGAAACCAAATGAACTGTTTTTCCCCTTCTTGAGTACAACGTATTTGAGAGCCGAAATAACATATTTCTAGATACTGTTAGACTGGTAGGGCTGGAGAGATAGTACATCAGTAGGGCGTTTGCCTTGCATGCCACCGACTCGGCCAACCCGGGTTCGATTCCTCCGCCCCTCTCGGAGAGCCCAGCAAGGTACCGAGAGTATCTTGCCCGCATGGCAGAGCCTGGAAAGCTATCCTTGATGTATTCGATATACCAAATACAGTAACAACGAGTCTCACAATGGAGACATTACTGGTGCCCACTTGAGCAAATCGATGAACAGTGGGAGGACAGTGACAGTGACAGTTAGATTGGTATACTGAAGTGACCTAAAAGAGGAGGGAAGGTCTAGATAATCAAGACCTTTGGCTGCTCTCTCATTTACATATGTATGTGCACTTAATCACTTAATCACTTAACTTCCCCTTAGTGTTGGTTTGCTCGAGTGGGCGCCAGTAACGTCTCCATTCATCCTTGTCGTGTGCCAGTGTAGCCCAATGGCATCTGTTCGCTCTGGGAACATGAAGAGCCTCAAACCGATCGTTCATGATCTTGATGAAGAAGTCTGACCATCTGGAGGTGGGCGGCCACGCAGTCTTTTGACATCCCGTGGGATCCAGTCGGTAACAGCTCTAGTCCAGCGGTTGTCTTTAAATCTCATTACGTGACCAGCCCATCTGATTTTTGACACCTTGGCAAATGAGACAGCATCCCTGATTCGTGATCGTCGATGGATGTCGGAACTCCGGATTCTTTCTCTCATTTGAGTGAAACGTGATATTCCAAGCATAGCTCTTTCTATTCTTCTTTGGGAGACCTGAATAGCGTTCTCATCCTGTTTGCATAGGGCCCAGGTCTCTGAGGCATATGTTAATGCAGGAAGAACAGTGGAATCAAAGAGATGTGCCTGGAGCCAGAGATTCTTCGTCCTCTTAGCTATTTCTTCGACGTTCTTGAAGGTGTTCCAAGCCGCTCTCTTCCTCCTGTGCAGCTCGGGTGCCAGGTCATTTGTCATGTTGACTTCTCGACCTAGGTACACATAGCTGTTGCATTCGGAGATGGTCATTCCGTTGAGAGCGAATGGGGCATCAGGAACGAGGTTGTTACTCATAAACATTGTCTTCGTAAGATTCAGCTGTAGTCCTACCTTTCCACACTCACGGTTAAAGTCGGCCAGCATTTGTGCCGCTTGGCTGATGTTTGGTGTTATTAAAACAATGTCATCAGCAAAGCGGAGATGGTGTAGTTGCCGACCATCTATCTTCACTCCCATTCCTTCCCATTCCAGTTGTCACATGATGTTCTCGAGGGTGGCACTGAAGAGTTTTGGTGAAATGGTATCACCCTGCCGAACCCCTCTCTTGACATCAATGATTACTTCTTTGTAGAATGGTGAGATCCTGGTAGTGAATCCGCAATACAGCTCACAGAGGATCTTGATATATTGGGCTTGAATGCCCTGATTGGCTAGGGCTTCAATGACCGCTTCCGTCTCAACAGAATCAAAGGCCTTCTTTAAATCAATGAACGTTAAACAGAGAGGCATCTTGAACTCCCGAGAAACCTCAATGAGCTTGGTTATTGTGTGGATATGGTCGATGGTGCTGAATCCTTTGCGGAACCCGGCTTGCTCGCATGGTTGTCCTTCATCTAGTGTTCTGCCAATCCTATTAGGATGACTTGAGTGAACAACTTGTAGATGACAGACAATAGGCAGATCGGGTGATAGTTGCCAATGTCATGGATGTCTCCCTTCTTGAACAGTAGTACGGTCCTGCTGGTTTTCCACTGGGACGGAACCTTGCATTCAGACAGGTAGCGAGTGAAGAGCCGAGCCAGTGTATTGATGAGTACTGACGGCAGGTTCTTCAGGTGTTCAGGTCTGACCTTGTCTGGGCCGGGTGCTGTTCATTTCTTTACTGACGAAATGGCGTGTTGGATTTCAGAAGGGAGAACGTTGGGAACGATATATCCATCCTGTGGAATTTGGTATGTCAGCAAGTGGACATGGCTATCGAAGAGATTTGAGTAGAAGTTATGGATAATCTTCTCCATTGCCGTTCTGGAGGATGTGATGGATCCATCAGGACGTCGGAGGGCAGTCATCTTGGTCTTGTAGTTGGCGAAGGACAGGCGGGCATTACGAATACTTTTCCCGGCTTCTGCCACATCTACCAGCACTTCTGCTCTTCTCTCTTTGAGGTCTTCCTTGATCGCATCTCTGCACTGCTTTGCGAGCTCGGATGTTAGCTTGCGGTTGCCTGAGGCATGCGGCAAACGACGCTGGCGAATTAGCTGAAGAGTTTTCGAAGACAGGCATTTTTTTGTGGCTATCTCTCTCTTGGCGTTCCTCGCACATTCATGGAGGTGCTGAACCAGTCGATCTTATTCCTCGTCAATGTTGTCAACAATGGCATCTTCCATGTTGCCGCAATAGTACCAAAGAGTTCCCAGTTGGTGGTCGTTCTGGGAGTTCCCTTTTTGAACTTTGCAGCCCTTTCTCCCCGCTCTGTGAAGTAGAATTTTGCACGAAGGAGATGGTGGTCCGATCCCGTTCGGAATTTTGGGACAACAGCGACATCGGTCAGGCAAAACCGTCGATTGAATATGATGTGGTCTATTTCGTTGTGGAATCGTCCACTGGGAGACTCCCATGTTCAACGTTTAGATTCTGCCTTCTGGAACTGTGAGTTACTATGAATGGTCTTGGTCGACATGATGAACTCAGCCTCTCACCCTGTTCGTTCCATTCTAGGCCATGGGTCCCGATGTGAAGTTCTTCAGCTGATCTTCTCAGTCCTATCTTGGCATTAAAATCATGTGCAATATGCATGTGCAATCTGGATTATATGTCCCACAATCCTTCATTACATAGGGCATAACAAACCACATGACTGAAAGAGCAAAGGGGACTGAGATATTGTGACACATATAAACCCCAACCACTGTGTATGGATTGTCGCTGCTGCTGGTACTATTATTGCTCCTGCTGATTCTGTTAAGGGATTGACCACAGAGACGTGCTTACCCCTTCTGACATATCACAAATAAAGAGCCATCCACAGAAACCTGAAGCTACTCAGATCTGCAACAACACTAAAAACATGTTTTTGATAATTACATCATCTCCAAGCACACGAGCACGTCACAGAGATCAGTCAAACATCCATTCCTGAACCTCAATAATTCAGCCCAAACAGCAAAACTGCCAATATTATGTCTAGGTTTAGTCCCCAATTGTTCTATTACGTGGCCTCGTTGCCATGACTAACTAAACAACATACATGAATGGTTAAGATTAAATTGCCTGGAAAAAAAAAAGGAGGAAACCTTGCAAGGTGAAAAGGAGACATTTAATCATTAGCTAAAGTGCACATGATTTGCTCTCCTGTGTCTGGACTTAAGGGGATTTCTAAAGGATTTAGTGATTTCCAAATTCAGACTTAGCAGAGAAAACATGTCAGGTCTCAGACACTGTTTACGAACATTGTTTTCTGTTTTTAAACACCTCAACAAACTTTTTTTTTAATTATTGGATTACTACATTGTTTCTTCTCTTGAAGATTTCAGATGTCATATCTGAAACTTCTTAAACTGAGATGTGTTCTAAATTCCAATTTCTTTCAGGCTGCATCTATCCACCTTGCTCCCAGCTTTGCCCACAGACATTTTCTAATTTTCTAACTCCACTAGGAAGCACACGTGTCCCAATGATGCTCTCCAGGATTCCACACAAATTCCATTTTCTCAATCAATGTCTTAGTGATAACCCTGGTAAAGACTCATACTATGTTATCATGTTAAGTGAAATGAGTCAGAAAGAGAGGGACAGACATAGAAAGATTGCACTCATTTGTGGAATATAAAGTAATATAATGAAAGACTAACTCCCAAGGATAGTAGAGATAAGTACCAGGAAGATTGCTTCATGGCTTGGAAGCTGGCCTCACGTGCTGGAGGAAAAGGCAGCTGTAAAGGGTGTCTAGAGGGTCTGCTCGGGATGGGAGATGTGTGCTGAAAGTAGACTATAGACTGAACATGATGACCATTCAATATTTGCATTGCAGACCACAACACCCTAAAGGAGAGAGAGAGAGAGAGAGAGAGAGAGAGAGAGAGAGTAAAAGGGAATGTGCCTGCCACAGAGGAGAGGGGAAATGGGGGGAATGGGAGGGATACTGGGAACATTGGTGGTGGAGAATGGGCACTAGTGGAGGGATGGGTACTCGATCATTCTATGACTGAGATGTAAGCACGAAAGTTTGTAAGTCTGTAAGTACCTCATGGTGATTCATCAAAAAATAAAAAATTAAAAACAAAAAAGACTGATACTATGTTAAGATAGAACAGGGCAGGCAATGAAGATTTAGGATTTCAGCAGACAGGGGGTCAGTTCCCTGTGCTGACTAACTGAACAACATAAGCACCCCCTAACTAACCCTCTTAAACCTCTCCTGTGGACATAATCTTTTTGTTTTGTTATCTTTGGTTTGGTCTTTTTGTTTGTTTGGTTTCGTTTTGGTTTGGGGGCCACACCCAGCAATGTTCAGGCAATGCTCTTGTCTCTGTATACAGAGATCACTGCTTGTGAGTGCAGGGGACCATAGGGAGTGCTGAGAATCAAACCCAGGTCAGCCACATACAAGCCACTGTACTACCTTTGCAGCACCAGTTTATGAACACATTCTTAAAAGACAGGACATGGATTCAAGGCCAGATTACCCGAATCCAAATCCTAGCTCACCACTAAGTAGCCAGCTACCTAAGCATTAGTCTCTGGTCCCTCCCCTCCCCTCCTCCTCCTTTTCTTCCCATGTTCTCCGTTGGCTGAATGCTAGCAAGGTAGCAGAAGACAAACCTAATGGGGTATTTTCTTTTAGGTCATGTCCACAGCCATTGAGAAACTGCATTCCGAAAGCCCTGGCAATGACCAGAGAAAAAAAGGTTGGTGAGGGTTGGGGGCAGAGATCATATAATCCAGGTCAGAAGGTTTTCACAGGAATAACTGAATTCATATAGGCAAATCACTATGGTAGCTGGCACATAGAAATTTCCATAGAGGGATTTTAGTGGCACTACTAGTATTAAAGAGATGCTATCATTAACATAATCTAAGATTTGTCTACATGAATTAAATGAGATGATAAAGTGTTTCTCAGAGTAAGTCTTCAGTCAATGGTACCTATTATCTATATGCAGTTTCAGAAAATGAAGACTTTTCCCCACCAATTTATAGGGGAGGGAGGGGCGGGCCACCTCTGGCAGTGCTCAGGGGCTATTCCTGGTTCTGTACTTAGGAGTGACCCCTGGCAGTGCTCAGGGGACCATCTGGAGTGTCAGGAATTTGGAGCAACCTTGAGACAACGGCCGCCATGCAGGGCAAGTCTCTTATCTTCTGTCTTGTCTCTCTGGACCCAGAAATATATATTGTTTAGTAAGTGACTCTAAAATGCTGGTGGCGAATCCAGAAACTGAGACACAGGAAGCAAAGACCAATCCTTAAGCTCACAGAGAAACAAAGGTGTGAGGAGGGCATTGGTCCTGTGCCCACATTTACATAAGAGTCCATGGAGGCCAGAGAGGGGAATTAAGGAAGACTCCCTAAAAAGAAAAATACTTTGCTCTCTTAGTGCCAGAAACTGACTCCCCCTGTAATGCTGTGGAAAATTCTAGTTTTCCCCTCCTTTCTCTGTATATTGGGCTCAGAGATAATGCTGTGTCTAACGTAAGTATGGTCTGTTAGCTTTTATCAACACATAATCTATTTACTCATACTCTGTAGCACTGTAGCACTGTCCTCCTGTTGTTCATTGACTTGCTCAAGCAGGCACCAGTAACATCTCACAACAAATTGTGAGACTTGTTGTTACTGTGTTTGGCATATCAAATACGTCACGGGTAGCTTGCCAGACTTTTTTGTGTGGGCAAGATACTCTCGGTAGCTTGCCGGGCTCTCTGAGAGGGGTGAAGGAATCGAACCCGGTTTGGCCAGGTTGGCACGTGAAAGGCGCCCTACCTGCTGTGCTATCTCTCCAGACCTACGAAAGGAGAAGGAGGAGGAGGAGGAGGAGGAGGAGGAGGAGGAAGAAGGAGAAGGAGGAGGAGGAGGAGGAGGAGGAGAAGGAGGAGGAGGAGGAGGAGGAGGAGAAGGAGAAGGAGAAAGAAGAAGGAGAAGGAGGAGGAGGAGGAGGAGGAGAAGGAGGAGGAGGAGGAGGAGGAGAAGGAGAAGGAGAAAGAAGAAGGAGAAGGAGGAGGAGAGGAGGAGGAAGAGGAGGAGGAAGAAGAAGAAGAAGAAGAAGAAGAAGAAGAAGAAGAAGAAGAAGAAGAAGAAGAAGAAGAAGAAGAAGAAGAAGAAGAAGAAGAAGAAGAAGAAGAAGAAGGCTGGAGAGATGGTACAGGGCTTTAAGGCCTTTTGCTTTGCTTGTGCCACTACGTGGCTCCTAGATCCCAAAGCTTGTGTGGTCCAAAACAAAGAGGAAAAATGGTTTTAATGTGGTGAGAAGGCAATAAAAGGTGGGTTTGAGATGTCAGGGTGGGGGAGGTGGGCATGTTAATGACATAGCCCTTCCTGTGGCATGTTCTGTTGTTCTATTTAACAGGCATCACAACGTCCCTTTAATTGAAGATGACACCTTTAAAATAAAATTCTCCCCAGTGATAATTTCAGCCTGCCACTCTGCCAGATGGAGGACCAGCCGAGCCTGGGGGATAGTATGTGAAATTGATGTTCTCTCTATTGTCATTTCGGTCCCGGTTATTTTTAGATTTTCTAACTGGAAAGGAAAGATGATGCTCCCTTTTAAATATTAAAAGTACACAGATTGCTTTGTCACAATAAAACTACATTGGTTAGGAATCGGGGAGAAGCATTTTTTTCTGAATTGGTTAGGAGCACTTTTGAGCATCCGAGGACCAGCTGCTTAGCATTGGTTCTTAAATGGGACTCCTCTGTTTGAATCCAAGTGAGGGTATGTGCGCAGCTCTCTGTGCTAAAAGGTTATGGTGCATAAAACGTCCATTAGAGACGCCATCTAATGCTAGAAACCATAGTAGCTGAAATTTAAAGGTCATGAAACTTTTTCAGAAAAAAAATGAGTGTACAGCCTGACCACAATCAAAGGTTTTCTATGTGTGGATCTTTATCTGTGGAAAAGATTTCATCAACAAGCAAAGGGCAAGGGAGATCTAGGTGGATAGAACCGACTGTCTGAACCCTGGTGAAAACACCCCTCCAGCAGGTCAGGAATCTTGCTTTAATAAAAGAATATCAATAGTTGGTGGAGGAGGGGTTAGAGAGATAGTACAGTGGGTAGGGCACTTGTCTTACACAAAGCCAACCAGGGTTAGATCTCCAGCATCCGATACAGCTCCCCAAACCCCACCAGGAGTGATCCCTGAGTGAAGTCAGGAGTTAGCCCTGAGCACCGTGTGGTGTTTCTCCCTTTGGTGGGAGAACAGGGTGTGGGAGTGAGGCCCCACCACCCCAAAAACTTAGATGACAAGAGCTAAACCATCTACTCTGAGCAGAGAAGACACCCTGATGGAGAAAACTCCGGGCCTTCCGGGAAGGAAGCCTCAGAAAAATACTCATCATTTTAAGGTTCAAGAGTTCCCTGCAAGGAACTCCAATCCAGAGATACAAGTGAGTACAGCAGGTTCATTGGGTTGCTCACAATCTGGGAAGACAGCGGACTGGTTGACCCCGGCTGCTTCCTCACAGGCTGGGTTTGGAGTTAAGAAGGCTGCAGAGGAGGTAGGCAGATACGCGAAAGCAGAAAGAGGGTGGGTTGTGAAGAAGAAAGGGGACCTACCCTGGGAGGGCTCACCTGCCAACATGGTTCCATGGGGATGCTGGGGCCCCTGGCCTGATCTTTGTCAAGCACAAGGTACCTGCAGTGCAGGGTTGGCTGTGGGGGTTTCCATCAGTTGTTTTTTTCCCCTAGCTTCCATGATTAACTCCCCATTTCACAGAACACAACCGTTCACAGACATCTTTCTTCAGCATCCAGGGAAAGGCAGAGTCTGAAGACATGTGAGGAACACTGGCTGTGCTCGCTCCCAATGCTGCCACCACAGGCTCACTCTGTCCCAACACACCTCAGTGATCCACTGTTCTATTTACCACGCTTTTGATCCTCCCCAGTCCACCAAAAAGTGCATCTCACTTTTTACCCAGAGAGAGCATCCAAGCTCCTGTCTCTTCCCTGTCAAGGATATCAAAGCTAAGCTCTGTCACCCCAAGCCCCAGCTTTCCCCCACCTTTGGGCTTTCATTGTCTTTTTTTTAAAAATTTTTTATTAGTGAATCACCGTGGAGTACAGTTACAAACTTACAAACTTTTGTGCTTGCCTTTCAGTCATGCAATGGTCGAGTACTCATTCCTCCACCAGTGCCCATTTTCCACCACCAATGGTCCCAGCATCCCTCCCACCACCCCTGCCCCATCCCCTCCACCCCACCCCGCCTCTATGGCAGAAAGTAGACTATAGACCGAACATGATAGCCACTTGATACCTCTACTGCAAACCACAACACCCAAAAGGAGAAAGAGAACAAAAGGGAAAGCCCCAGCTTTTTACCATTGGACCCTACTTCCTTTGCAACTCTATGTCCACTTAGTTCTCCAGCTAACCGTGTGGTCTGGGCTGTGACCAGCCCACCTTTGCTCTCACCAATGCTCTTGTCCACTAGCCCTTTCTTCCTTTTCCTCTATCCTATATCCAGTTTCACACTCTATCCCCAAGGCTGATTCAAAGTCAGGGAGCCTTCTTTCTTTTCCAGAAGAAAATGATTCTTTCTCCCTCTTCACCATAGGTATATTTCTTTTCACAATGTGTCCTTATGTCCTGCTTCCTTCCCTCCTCTTCGTCCTCCCCACCCCCTATCCCCAATGCAAATGCGACAGGGTCTGTACAAATTCCCCATAGTCCAGGTTTGATTGGACTTTACATCCCCAGAGATCAGCCAAACGTGCCATAAGCTCTCCCTAAACCGGAGCTGTTATTTTCTTGATGGATTCTGAGCAAACATCCACTGAGTCATGGTGTCGGTATAAAGAGAACTTGAAGGAGTCAATCAACTGGATCAGAGATTGTTCACTGCAATTTTGTGCAAGGAAAATCAAGCAGCATTTCTGGGCTGTCTCTCTCCATCTCTCCAGTACTTGCTTTTGGGATGTACAATCAGTAAGGGGGGGGGGGGGGGATAGTAATTGGAAGAAATTATACCTTTGGCGTCCCATTTCCCTGGGAAACATACAGTCCTGATATTTGAGTTTCTTTTTTGTCATCCAGGGAGTTCTTGACTGCTAGAGACCGTGACCTAGATTTCCCTGCACAAATAATTGGAAGTAATTCCTACCTTTTGGCACAGAATGGACATCTCAGCCTTGATAGTTTGCCAGGGATATGCATGCAACTTATCAGGCTTCCGCAGTTAGAATTGGGGAGGGGGTGTTCAGATCCCCACAGTGCTGGGAAATGTTTCCTTGAATTCACTGGGAAAGAATAACACTCCATAGGAGAAGACAGATGGCAGCAACGGTAGGAAACGGGCATTTCAAACCTGCAGCCTGTCTTCTCTCTCTTATTACTGTGTTGGACTGTTGGGCTAACCACATCATGGGGTCATGTCATACAAAAGAGATAAGGTTTTTTTCATGCTTGAAGAGGAGAGTACAGAAGTTAAGGCGCTGGCCTTATATGTGGCTCACCCCAGTTAGATTCCCAACACCACTCAAAAAAAAAAAAAAGGAAACTTGGGGCTGGAGCAATAGCACAGCGGGTAGGGCATTTACCTTGCACGCAGCCAACGCGGGTTCAATTCCCAGCATCCCATATGATCCCCCGAGCACCGCCAGAGTGCAGAGCCAGGAGTAACCTCTGTGTGTCGCTGGGTGTGACCCAAAAAGAAAAAAAAATATGAAACTCAAAA